CACATGGACATGCGTTTAGTAGGTTTTTCAATTGTTTAGTTGATTTTGCCTTGCTGTGTAAGTGTGCTATGGGGAAAAAGACGATGGATGATTCCAGTTATCATGTAATCGTTTCATTTTACGTCGCTCTTCAGGTCCGCGCAGTCCACGAGACATGCTGCCTAGTCTCAGGCCGCTGGAACTATTTTCGCAAAAAGCTCAGAATTACATCTTGCATGGTGTAAATATTCACAATTAAAAAGTAAAATACAAAGATAGAGATAGAATCGGCCGCCGTCTTTCGGTGAGATGTACTTGCGAATCTTGTCGGAAATGGAAAAGCTGATACCTTTTTTCACGTACTAATCCTGCGGTTACGTCTTCTCTGTAGCAAAATAGACAGACTAGTGAAGAAGTGTGCTGTGATAGCAGTTTTTCAATAGACTTAAACATGACCCATTCTCAAGGCGAGACTGTTGAAAGATGTTTGTGCTCATGTCATCGAATTGTGTGTCGTCGACACGTTTCGGAGGAATACAAAAATGCTTGTCAACTCAACTGGGCCCAACGGTCAGAGGTGGTTACGAGCTGTGCTGGACTCAAATGCTTCGGTTTGCTGATTGTGCCGCCTTGCACTAAACGCAAGAGCAGATTACATGTCAAGATTGCATGCAACCTCGGGCTTATGCAATCCAGGTCATTATTTCGCTTCGGTTGTTAAACCTCGATACTCCGGGTCCTTGACGCCGGGCTTTCATGTTATTGCTTCAAGTTGGGACATGTTTTTCGTAGTCGCCCTCACCGAAAGGTAACCAGCAAATACAAACATGCACACTCAAATGTAGGTACCCTGATCCCATTCGATATCGTTCAGTTTTTATTTGCGAGTATGTACGGCATGTGGAGTAGAGCTAATCAAGTGGCATGACGGACAAAACACATCCCATTCTGTCTTGAAGAGAGGGAGTGAAGTGAAGGCAAACGACTGCATAACAACGGGATTCATGTTTCGTCTTATGGTGCGGTTGGCCTATGAATCTGTTCATAGGGCACTTTCACACGACAATAATACCGAACCCGGTCACTCTTGAATTTTCGTGTACAAGTAGAGTTACGAGACTACCAGTAAATCAGAAATATGAGATGTACTCACCCTATTCTGTTCAAGGTGATGAAAGAGTGACATTTGAATTTTCCCACAATGATATGAGTAGACCTGACGTTTCCATTGCATTTCACATGACCTTGTTTTCTCAAAAGTTGCTATCTTCATCACCTTAAATGAAATAGGCTGAATACTTGTCAAATGCATGATTTTCTGGTAGTCTCGAAACTCTGTTTCTACACGAAGAATCTGTGTCAGCAGCTCGACCAACACTCATCGAGCTCACGTTGCCGATGGTCGAGGACGTCTTCTCAAAGGGCAACTGCCACAACTGCTCAAAGACAAAATCGTCCTTCGAGTTCCGACTCGAAGAAAGACCCGTCTGAATTCATTTGAGGTAATGAAGGACTGGTAGTACAATTTCCCCGCAATGACTTGAGTAGAGCTGACGTTTCCATCGGATTTCGCATAGCCTTGTTTTGCCAAAAGTTGTTCTCATCCCGGCCGGAGTGGACTGCAGATCCGACCTCGTCTCGGTCTTATCAACACCCCCAGCGGGACTCGAACCGTGACAGTGCAGAATGGGAGCTTGACACGCCAACCAGTCGGCCACATTGCCACGAGTGCTCTTGGAACAGAGGGCAGATGTGAATTTCAAGGAAGGTGGGATTGCCGATATACGAAAATTAAGTACTTTACTTGATTGTTATGGCGAAAATACGTTTTCTTCATCGACTCCCGTTGGGGGTTTTGATAAGACCTATTCGATGTGGAAACTGCAGTCCACTTCAGTCGGGATGAAAACAACTTTTGGGAAAACAAGGCTCTACGCATACGATTGTGGGAAAATTCTACTACCAGTCCTTCATCAAATTAAACGAAATAGGCTGAATACATCTCATATAACTATTTATTACTGTCCTAGTCAGAGACTTTTGGTATCCTGTTGAATCGTTGGCATAAACTGCTCCGTTCTCTCGATGTCTATGCGATGACCGCCTCAAATCCGGCAAACTAGTGTTTTGAGTGGCAACCCAAGCCTTTCCTCAACGCATCACAACAGCCCAACAACGCAACAGCCCTTCACTAAATATACTAAGTTAGCATATAAAATAGTCGAAAGGACTAAAGCCTTCAGTAACTGTTGATGCTTCAATCTGTACTTTCATTTGCCAGTTTCTTCATATTTACTACCTCGGTCAGAAAGTAAGCAAGCCAACGCCTCGAGATGTGTTGCCATCCTCCCGGTACACTATTTAGTGACGCCCGTCAATGATAAAGCGCTAGTAGGAACAAACAACCAAGAAGGACCGGAGAAAGAACGTTCGATTGTCCGGTCAGAACAACGCTAGGATACCCGTAAAAGACTTGATATTCAAGCCAGGCTGATGATATTTTAGTTTTCGCAATCTGGCAACCGGGTTAGCTCAATATGCTGACAGTAAGGGATACAGAGGCATCCGAAGACACGGAAAGCAGAGCTGAAGTGAACGACGGTGATCCAACCAAATGTCAATGCGCACAGACAGGAATGCCTGGACAAAGTCGGGCTTATTACAACTTCGCAAAACTGATTTGCAACATGTTTGCCGTTCTCTAATGCTCCTGTAAAAAGCGAACGCTCTCCGGCGGTTCGACCGTGTGCGCAGAATGACAGCATAAACACTCCAATTTAGATGCTTTAACTATCGTTGGCATTGACTAAATGCACTTCCGATAAAACACATCAAAAATCCATCATTGGTTAAACCTTAACCGCATATAGCATGTACGAATGCTCCATTCGTGTGATAAACTGGGATTCATGTGATGAGACGTATTCACCCTATTTTGTGTAAAGGGACTGATAGTCCAATTTTGCCAAATGATATGAATAGACCTTACGTTTCGATTCAATTTCACATAGCCTTACTTGCCTAAAAGGTATTCTCATTCAGGCAGAGGTGAACTGCAGTTTTGTCCTCACCTCAACTGGCCTCATCAGAACTCCCAGCGGGATTCGAACCATGGCATGGCAGTGTACAGCATATATATATATATATACAGCCTCAAAACGCAGAGTTTTTGCTATTAGGATTTCACTACAATAAACCGTATACCAAGATTTGTCCGAGCCCATGGCTAGCATAGTGAAGTGAAACTCAACGTTTTGCAGAATAGAGGAAATTTGGGAGTCACTATAAAGTTACAAGACAATTATACTTATGGCACTTAGATAAGCACGAAGAAATGCCGAATATGATTGGACTCGATTAGCCTCAAATTTAA